CCTCATAATACTAAATATATATATATCATATTATATATAAGCAATCCATTTGCATACAATATATAAACATTAAGTTATAAAAAATATTTGTAATCATATGTCGATACAAAATATCATGGCATAATAAAGTTTTCCACATAAGATACTCATTCTTTGCGAATATCAAACATGTCGACGTTGCTGGAGATGTATCTCTTCTACTAGCTTCTTCTGCAATTTTGAAGTTGCTTCTTCAGAGTCGAGAACTCTTGAAACAGGCTACGAATGAGCATTGGCTTCAACTGAACTAGTAGGAACATCAGATGCACTAGCTGTTCCCGAACCCTTCCCAAAATTAGAGCTGGTCACCTTTGGTTTCCACTCCTTATTTGAACCAACTGCTGATGACATATAGGAATTAATACTTTGTATATATTAATCAAGCATCAACTATCTTCAGGTGAGAACATAAGTAGTCCAAACGTTTGTAAAGAGCAAACATTTTCATTTATGGTTATCAAGTCATCACTCATAACTAAGTAATATGAAAAGAACGAAAAATCAAGTAAATTTATGGTAAAGGTATCTTAAGTTTTAAAAGCTTTACTTTTCATTTCTCACAGTTACACCGTTATTTAAGGGGATTCTTCTATTTACATATGGGTAATTCACCCATCTTTCTCGGTTATAATGATGATTTTCATTCAAACTTGCAACAAACGTGCTACTGAATTCTATTTCACTCAGAGGAAAAGGTGATTGATATCCATTTACCAAAATTAGTTATAGATTCCAATTATTATAAGGAGTAATATAGTGGGTCTGAACTCTGAACATCCTTAATCAATCAAACAAAGGAGGGCATTCAACTAAACTTTCATAGTCTAAGTGAATTTAGATAAATCCCATCTCTAACAAATAACACACATATCTTGATAACTTAAGCATCCATGTACAGTCAAGCAAAAAGCCAAAAATCAACTTTTTTTAAATATAAACATTCACATAGACTGCAATAACTTTCATTATATCAGTATGGGATGGGAGATTGTCGAGTGCAAGCTAGACATGCATCATAAATCTTCACTGGACAGCTAAAGATTCTGGAACCAATTAACTATTTTTTTAAAACTGATATCCACTTCATTGATGAGGCCAAATTGGACTATGTAGCTCCAAACTATCCATCTCAACCCCAATATAAGTAACAAAGAGAAAATATTGAACAAATATCAAGGAATGAACACCCTTTTAAAAATATATATGTTCCAATAAAGAAAGAAAGGCAATAGATGCATGCTTGCAGAGAAGTAACACAACTAAGGAAAAGGAAGAAACTTAAAGGGAGATTAACATATACCTTCGGATGGCTCTGGTCTGTATCTAGTTGTTATGTATTTCTGCAGTGAAGAGATCGGTTAAAGGGTAATCAAATCCAAGCCTTTGTACACACATATATATATATATATATATATATATATATATATATATATATATATAATAACTAATAGAAAAGTCTATGCACCTGCAAATGACTTTTAACATGATAAATTATCAAGCCTTCAACTTTCATAAGCTTCAACACGCCCTTTGGAGTAGCTTATGTAAGTTGAAAATACAAAACAAATTAAAACATATCATATTTTGGAAAACGTTTCATGAGAAATGAAAGTAACACACTTTCACTGCCTCCCAATTGGTTAACAGCTGCAACAAAGTCTTCATGAAGTTCTGGTGTCCACTGCATTCGTGATTTTGCTGGGGCGTCCACTAACGCTGTAACTAATATTAAGGCTTATCATAACAGTTGCACTTACAGCAGCAGAGATAATACAAAGACAAGACAATAGGAAACCTTATTATCATCACAGTACACATAATATCCATTTGCATTCTCTTTATCCCAAGCCAGCCAAGTCTCACATTAAGCTAAAATCTAAGTGATTTAAAACCAAACAATATGAGAAAGGATATACGGACCACCAAATAGGTGCATTGAGGATGTAAACTAGTACTGTATTAACCACCTAATCTCTCTGTTGCCTCCACGACTTGTCTACTTACTTCTGCAAGCAAAAGAGAAACATCGACATGTAATGGCAAAACATGATGAGTTCAATCAAAATTCAAAGTACCCAGACTAGAAATCATACGAGTTTTTATCAAACTCAGACATTAGTACATTGTAAAAAGTACCCCAAAACAATCAAACCAGAAAGAACCAACCTTTAGATAAGCCAATGACGTAAATAACCAGACCAGAAAACAAACCGGGGGATTTAACCGTTAAAGGTTCAGAACAAAGAGAGGTAGGGGCAGGGGACATTGGTTCAAGGAAACATTCAGACATATCAAATTTTCAAGGAAACAAACATAAGTTCAAAAACGAACAAAAATCAATCCAGATATAAATAACCTACTTCACAAAGCTTTTTAGTTAGCTTAACGACGACCTTTAAATTTTCTAAAGTTTCCTGATGACTCTTCGGATCATGCCACGAGAAATCGAACCTAGCCACTGAAGAAAAACAAACGAATAAATAAATATTGCTTCCAATAACACAGTAGTAACTAAAAAGAAGTGAGTCCGAAAATACAGTACCAGACATTCCAGCTTTAAGACAACCAGAAATAACATCAACAAATCGAGACCTTGGACCTAAAGTTCCCACTATCTTGGTCATTGCCAGGAAAAAACCCTGTAAAGAATACGAACGAATCAGTTTCCAAATCTACTAGGATCCGATCAGATTCCCTGGAAAATTGAAAACCCTAAATAGATTGACTTGGAAAACAAAAGGGAAACTTACAGCCTTAGATGGCTCCAGGATTGAAACAGTCCTGATTGGCTAGTCTAAAACGCAATTTCCTTCAAATCTAACATAAACCCAGAAGAATTTATTCAAATCCAAGAAATCCCACAAGTTCCCACTTCAGAAACATTAGAAAGTAGCAAATCAAAGTTCTACAACCAAGCGTAAAAAATATGCGTACGAGAGGGGGAATATGGGTGTTATAGATGCATAGATGGAGTGAGCTTACGGTGCAAAGTGGAAGGAGAAGAGGAAGTAACGTAATTGGAAGGAGATGATTGTTCTTTCATCTCCACATCTTGAGTCATTTTTGAGAACCTGAAACAATTTCAAGGTTCAAACTTATTATCGAGGGGGGAAGAAGCGGGAAGGATGAAAATAATGGGGGGAAAATTAAAATACGACTCCTAAAGATGACACACAATTAAAACTATACTCCGTGTTTTTGTAAATTTTTTGGATTATGACTATTAAATATGACACATATTATTGTAAGTCATAAATCGTTCAGATTTTAAAAATCATGACATTTTTTAATGACACACATGTTTTGCAAGTCATAAATTAGCGTGTGTCATCGTTCATGTGTCATTAAAGGTATATTTTCTTGTAGTGTCAGTACATTTAGATATATAACTGATGTTAGTAATTTTTAAATTTTTGTATCATTTTAGTAAGAATTGTTATGTCCTTGCATTCACTTTTATATATGCAAATTCATCTTTTGAGTAATCCTAATATTGACGAAGTTCAACAAGTCATTTGATTGTCAGAGGTAAATATAGTCTGTTTACAAGAAAAATTGAATGTTGATAGTGAAGAAATCGATCATCTGATTTGTGGAGATATTGACTTATCCACTCCAAAAATTTTGTTTGGACTCTTCAAATTTACAATACATATTACTATTATGAATACATGATTATGCTATTACAATGATTTTGTAAGATAGTTTCATACATTATTTTCCTTTTGTTTTATACTTTACTAATTTTGTTAATAACAATGTTGGCTTGAAGTTTGTTATATTTTAGTGGATTATGCTTGTGCATGTTTATTTGAAGACTTGCAGTGATGATCACAAATTGAATAAAATTGTTATAATTTATTTCATACCATCAATTTAATTGTTGAATGATGCTTCTTTTTAAAAATTGAAAGGCAAAAGTGAATTAAGTTGTACAAATAAGTTAGAATATAAATTCTTTTACTAAAAGTTCAATAACAATCCCATCTCTTTACATTTTAAGATTTTGATTAGTAATGTTATGGAATATTTATTAGCAATGCTCAAAGAAAATAAATTGTCTTATTAGAATTGTTTAGGAATGTTGATTAAATTAACATTTTTTGTTGGCAATGTCTAACTTTTTTGACTTTTTGCAGCAATTGAAAATATTTATTGAAAATATAATTTATTTATATTTTATTTATAATTATAAAAAATGAGTGATATTTAATTTTAATTTAATTTAATTTACTTTAACAAAAACATTGTAATCATATACAAAATTTGGTTAACGAGATAATTTTATAATTATAAAATTAAATCAATAAAAAATAAAAGATAAGATAAAAATAAGATTTTAAGATGAGTTTATTTAATGAAAGTTAGATGTTGAAAATTATTTTCAGAAAATTTTACCAAACAAAGGAAAATGATTTACACAGTTTCATCCAAACAACGAAAAATAATATTTGTAATTCATTTTCTAGGAAGCATAATTTATTTTTCAGAATTATTTTTTAGAAATTTTTTCAGTAAAACAAACATCATTCATCTAAAAACAGGAAAATAATTTTTATATTTTATTTTTCAGAAATCATTTTTTTAAATTATTTACACAAAATATTTATCATTTCGAGCTTCTGTGAAGATGCTTCAACCCTTTCGCTTTTGCCTAATAAGTTAAAAGAAACCGTTGATTATAGAAATACATATATATTGTTTCTTCAAGCTATTCTCTACGACAACAAAGTTGCCTTGTCTGAATTCCAAACCCCCCAAAAAAACATAAAAAGTTACTAAAGAAAGTAAAAGAAAAGTAAACCACTTTCCACGGCACCAGTAGTTTCCAAGAGGCGTGGCATAAATATACACCAACAACGAAAGAAAGTTGTAGAAAACAAAGGGCAGCTTTAACTCTTCAGGATATATAAATGAAAAGGACTCGGTAGTCATTAATTATCATTCAAAAAGCTCGTGATTATGAGCTGCGAAATGAGTTATTATCCGACGAGCTCTTCTCCCCGGAACAAAGGGCCAGCTCCGTTTCTGTCCAAGACTTATGCTTTGTTAGAGGAAGAAGGTGGTGGCGGCGGCGGCAAGAAAATAGTGTCGTGGAACGATGAAGGGACGGGGTTCGTGGTGTGGTCGCCGGTGGAGTTTTCGGAGCTGACTTTGCCTAGATATTTCAAGCACAATAATTTTTCTAGCTTTATTCGCCAACTTAATACATACGTGAGTTGTTTTCCTTTCCAAAGCCGAATTCTTTTTCTCCTAACAATATTTGCAACTTTAATTTCATACACGTGCATTTTATCCTATTAGGCAAAGCAAAAAGTTCTTAGTTTTAATTGATATTTACATAAATTTTGATCTCTGCTCTGATTGATCTTAAATTATTATTTTTGTATCCCTACATTGTTTTCTTAAAAATATTTTGTGAATTATGGTGCTAAACGAGGTGTTTTTAAGAAGAAGAAAAAATATTAAAAAATTAATTGGAATATTTAGTAACGTTCAATAATAATGTTATAAAATCACAGGATTAAATTATGTTAAGTTAAAACATAGAGATTAAATTCTAAATCTTAATATGGTAAGGGCACCAAGTGGTTTTAAGAAAAATTCATGATAAATTTTTAATTGAAATATTTAATGATGTTAAATAAGGATATTATGTTGTAACAACTAGAATAGATGGGATGAAGAAAGCACAATCTAAAAATGTTGTTGGCAAAGAGGAGGGGTTTAAGAAAACATCATCAAGGAGGTGGGAATTCAAGCACGATAAGTTTCAGAGAGGCCATAAGCAAATGCTACTGGAGATAACACGAAAGAGGAGCGAGCCAAGCGTGTTCCCTGCTTTCTTGAAGGCTTCCTCTTCGTCCGAAGAAGACCATCATCACATCATCAATGGCATGGACGATGAAACGAGTGTTCATCGTCGGACACTAATGGAGGAGAACCTGCACCTGAGGAGAGAGAAGGTGGAGTTGCAGACTCAAATTGCGCAATTCAAAGCTCTGCAAATTAAGCTGTTGGACTGCCTTGATCAGCACAACAACAATCACCATGAAACTACCACTGCTACGTGATCATGTAGCCTTCAGTCTTGATCTTCTTCTGTTGTAGCCAAAGGTTTCGATTGTTTGCACCTCATGTATTGTGCTCGTGGAATTTATGGAATAGCAATTTAAGTTTATTTAAAATACGAGTAAGACTCGAATTCATTAAGTGATCTTAACCGTAAAAAAAATGTTATTTGATACTATATTTTAGTGACTTTAGAAAATGAATCATATTCAAATTTTAATATTTGTGATCCGAGTCTCAACCGTTCCATTTTGTAAATTTATAGCAATAACTTTTGTTAGAAAAATTTAAAGTTATTATCTTTGATTTCTGATGTAAAATAGGTTACTCTTACGTAGTTGGTTTTCCTAATCAATGTATTTCTCTCTGTATTTTGGGTAAAATATTTTTGGTGCTTATTTTTTTGTAAAACATTTTCTTTAGTTCGTTTCAACCTAAAATAATCTTTCTGCTAAAATTAACTCACCCTGTTCGATTTCATCTCATTTTTCTGCTAAAAGCATGAACTTCACAAAGCTGTTGTTCAACTCAAAATCCCAGACTCAATATGTGTGTTTTAGCAGATTTTATTATGCAAACTGGGTCAACAAAGCCACTCTGTATTCCAGAATCAGTCTTCTGGGAAGCCCCAACAAAAGCGTCGAAGCTGAGCTTGAAGATTGGTTCAAACATGGCAACAACATTCGAGTCGCCGAGCTTCAACGCAACATTCACGATCTTCACAAGCGAAAACGATTCACCCAGGCTCTTCAGGTTTGGGTCTATTTTATATATTCTCGAGTTTAATTTGTCTGAAAATTTTGTATTTGCAGTACTTTTTCATATGGGGTTTCATGATGTTTGTCGTATTAAGCAGTAGAAGCATTTGTGATAACTGAAGTGTGAAGTACAACAGATGTCACTGTAAAAATGATTTTTTTTTATCAGAATGTTCAAATATTACACAGAATATGGTCGTTGAAATTATTGAGATTTGTTACTATTTATAAGCTGCAGGGCCCATTTTGTAACAGTTTTTTAATTGATATTTTGTAACATTTGAAAGTTGGATGACCAAAAACATCATTTTGACATAATTCAGTTAGTACTTTACCCAAAACTGAATGATGCTGACTTGAATTTTTAAACTTTAAACAGCCAAGACAGGTTTTGACATCATCACTGCCAACAAGTTCCCTAGAGTTGTTTGCATATTTGATTTGAATTTTATCATTATGCGCCTGAGTGATTATTTGTCAATAAGGAAATTGTTGGTTTGAAATAATGTTGAAATCTGTAAGCTGATGTAATGGAGATGATCGAGTAAAAGGTGAGGCTTTGTTTTCTAGAGTCGACTCCTGCCGACCTGCAAATTTTAGTGTGTATGACTGAAATCGTGAACATAGCAGATAAGAGAGAAAAAAAGTTTCAATTTTTAAAGAACGATTGATTTATTGGGGTGAATTAGTTTGAGTCGAGTTAGTCATTCAGTATTGTCCTTGTAATAATTGATTCTGGTTCGTAAGTGTCAATATAATCACAATTTGTAACTTCAAGAAAGAAAAACAAAAGATTGTTGCTGGATGCTCCACATTGTTGCCTAAAGTGGAGATGGGAGGATGAATGTGAACTTGTTAGTTAAAGCCTTAAAGGTTGATCGTGCCATGTAGCTTGACACTTAAATTGTTCGTATCGGGTTTTCTTTTTTGGTTTGTAGTGGTTGAATACATATCTGCGTGAAATTTTTTAGTTAAGGAATTGCAAGTTTAGTTGGTGATCGGATGTTTAAACTTTGAACCATAAGATTATGGATAACTTTGTTTATTTTCTGATATTTCCTGATGTCTAATGGGTGCAGGTTTCTGAATGGATGAATAGAAAGGGTCTTTGTGCCTTTTCACCTACTGAACATGCCGTGCAGTTGGATCTCATTGGTAAAGTTCGAGGATTTGCTTCCGCTGAAAGCTATTTTAATAAGTTGAAGGACCAAGATAAAACCGATAAGACATATGGCGCCCTTCTGAATTGTTATGTGAGGCAGCGGCAGACAGACAAGTCCCTGTCTCATTTGCGGAAAATGGAGGAGTTGGGTTTTTCCTCGACGGCTCTTACATACAATGATATTATGTGCCTTTACACTAATACCGGACAGCATCAGAAGGTACCTGATGTACTGAGGGAGATGAAAGAGAACAATGTCTCCCCGGATAACTTCACTTACAGAATCTGCATGAATTCCTATGATGTAATGTCGTATATCGAGGGAATGGAAGGAATGTTTAACAGAAATGGAGAACCAACCTCACATTGAGATGGATTGGAACACTTATGTTGTTGCTGCCAATGTTTACATAAAAGCAGGCCTTACTGAAAAGGCAATCGACGCACTGAAAAAATCCGAACAGAAGCTAGATAGAACCGGCTACAATCATCTAATATCACTATACACAAGCTTGGGAAACAAAGCCGAGGTCTTGAGATTGTGGGGTCTAGAAAAAAATGCTTGTAGAAGGCATATAAACAAGGATTTCGTCACGATGCTGCAATCTCTTGTGAAGCTTGATGAATTGGAAGAAGCAGAGAAAATACTCGAGGAGTGGGAATCATCAGGCAACTGTTATGATCTTCGGATACCGAATATCGTTGTTGTTGGGTATATTAGAAAGGGTCTACACGAGAAGGAAGAAGCGATGCTTGAAAATCTGAAGGAAAAGGGTAAGATCACCACCCCTAATAGGTGAGGCCTTGTGGCAGCAAGTTACCTAGATAAAGGTCAGACGGAAAAAGCTTTCGAGTGCATGAAAGCTGCCCTATCTTTATTTGTGGAGGATAAGGGGTGGAAACCGAACCTCAGGGTGGTTACTGGCATCTTGGATTGGCTAGGTGATGAAGGCAGTGTTTGTGACGCGGAAGAATTCGTGGAGACACTGAGGAGAACGATTCCGGTCAACCGAAAAATGTATCATGCCTTGTTGAAGGCAAATAGAAGACATGGTAAAAGAGTGGATGTACTTCTGGATCGCATGAAAGCCCAATAAAATAAATGGAGACGAAGAAACAAAAACGATATTGGCCATGAAGTCCAGCTAAATCTCCATTGTTTGGTTCCTCATCATTCATTGATCTGTGTATGCTTTTCCATCTGATGGCCATTGTAGTCCTTCAGACTCCGAGATCAGCTTTTGAGTTGTACTTCTTATTTTGATACTTGAGATTCTTTTTTATCCACAAATATTTTTTATGCTTTTAGAGGAAAAATATTAATTTTAAATAAACTTACATATAAACGAATTATCAAACAAGCTTGAAGCACAAGAGAGAATTTGAAGGCAAAAATAAAACCAACAAATTATAAAGGTTTTGCAGTATTGTTAATTGGCAAATATTCAACTTGGATGACCGAGAAGTCCGGAATTGAAGCCAGGGTTCTGTCCTCAAGTCTTACTTTAAACGCACTGAACCTACCTTACTCTGTCAGAGTCGCTTTCAGCTCTCCGTTGTTCCTCAGCTCCAGGACAATATCGCAACCTCCAATAGGCACACCTTTGTAATAAAGTTGAGGAAAGGTCGGCCAGTTCGAGAACACTTTCAATCCCTGTCTAACCTAATCGTATATTAAAATATCGAATGACCCAAAACTCACACCTTCCTCCTTTAGGGCGTTGACAACTTTAGAGCTGAAACCACATCTCGGAGCATCGGGGGTACCCTTCATAAAGAGCATCACTATTGAAAGATGAAATCAAACTTCTCAGACGGTCCTCTAGCGTCTCATTCTTAACGATGCCTTTCTCGGTTAAAATCTTTCGCAGCTCACCAGTTTTCTGCATCTGTAACACGATTTCTGATCCACCGTTAAGTTCACCTTTAATATACAATTGGGGGTAACTTGACCAATTTGAATAGACTTTCAGCTCTTGACGAACTTCATCATCTGTGAGTATGTCGAAACTCTTGCAATCGACTTTCTCTTGTTTAAGGATTTCAACTACCTATGATCATGGAAACCCGTTGGCTTATGCCTCTGATCAACATTGAAGCAGTCAGTCTTGGTCTTACGCTTGGAGAAGCTTGGTCATTAGCTTACGTCACTTTGCAAATGGGTTGGTTTATAGAATAGATGATGGATCAAACACCTTCTTTTGGACTGATAATTGGCTAGGACAACCTATTGTTCAGTTTCATCATGTGTCGCCTTCTGTTGTGGATACCTCAGCTAAGGTGAGTGATTTCCTTATGGCTGATAAGAAATGAGATTTGAATAAATTTTTTGCCCAAGTGTCTATGGAAGTAGCGAGCATGGTTATGGGTTACCCAATTCCTAGATTGGCCCTCATGAAAGATTCCCTCTACTGGAAGCATACCGCTGTCCGCTAATGGCGTTTTTACGACCCGTTCAGCTTACCTGTCCTATACATTGGAAGACGCTGGAGATACCAGTGAAGACTCCTCTTGGATTTGGAAATTACCTATTCCTCATAGGCGGAGGTATTTCATATGGTTGGCGTGGCGTGACAGGCTCTTAACTAACGCGCGAAGGGCTACCAGGGGACTATCGCACTTGAGTGGATGCTCAATTTGCGACTGCCTCTTTGAAGATCTAGCTCATATTCTGAGAGATTATAACACGGCTACGCGTATATGGGATTATTTTTGGAATGGTTGCACACCATATGTTTTCTTCAACCGGGATGTTCACAGTTGCTTTGCTGTAAACCTTGACATGAAGAGGATGTCGCAAGAGAGGGTGACGATCTTTGCTACGCCCATCTGGAGACTATGGACTTCAAGGTGCAAAAAGATTCTTGATCCCAATAAGACTTTTCAGAATGATTTCGGTCTTTGGCGAAATATAGTGAATACAACGAAGGAGGTTATTTCGACTAATACTAAACCAAGTCGAGTTGTTAGTGGTAGCTATTACGTCGCATGGTCTCCACCAAGATCGAGAAGCTTGAAGTTAAAACACAAATGGAGCTTATCAAGGTAATCCGGGAGTCTCGGGAGCAGGAGGTGTTCTACGTGATGAAGCTGGAAAATGGGTTTTGGGTTTCTCTACCCACTTGGGTATCTGCACTAGTGTTGCAGCCGAGCTTCACGCTTTAAGGATTCACTCATCTTTAGCTTGGGACCATGGCTATGAGACCGTTGAATGTGAAGTGGATGCCTGGGTGGTGATCCATCTCATTCAAAATGGAGATACAACCTTGCATCCGTTAGGTGCCTTGATCGAAGACATTTGAAGCTTTAAACGACGCAGCTGGAACATAACCTTCAACCACATTTATCGTGAAGGTAATTTATGAGCAGATTTTCTTTCTAAGATGGGTGTTTCCCTGGATGAAGAACTGGCTATTTTTTAGTCTCAACCTGCTGCTATCTCACAACTCTTTGAAGCAGACTACAGAAGCATATCCTTTCCCGGAGGATATAAAGTAAATTAGTTTTTATGTCTGTTCCCTTTGTAACCAAAAAATAATAATAATAAATAAATGAAGGTGTAAGCGAATTCCATAGTGTTTCTTGAATAATTAGAGATGGCATGAAAGATGAAAGTGATGATAAGTTAAGGGGCAGAAAATAGTTCAAATTTAGATCAAAGAAGAAGAATGTTCAACTAATGATTGATTTAGAATGATAAACGGAGGAGTTGATTGATAGAGAACCAATTTAATGAAAAAACATAAAAAAGTAATATCAATAAAATATTTTTTTACTCAAATATTAATAAAATAAATCATATACTGGGGTAATAACTAAATTTTAATTTTTAAAATTGAATGATTAAATTGAAAATCTTAAAAGTTAAATGACCAAAACATGAATTTAAACAAAGCTGAGCGATAAAAAATGTGTAATCTACCCTAGTGCTATTCAATGTTTAAATTTTAGATTTAACCTTATAGAAACATTGTTGATCTTATAACATCCATCTTTAACAACTAATGCAAAAAATATTCAATCTTTTTCGCTTTAGAATTTTGATGTCGAGGGTTGAATTTATAATTATATTAATAATATTGTGTAAAATGACATTGAAATTTTAGAATTCACTGTTACCAAAAATAGAATCACTCAAGCAGCACAGGAAACTCTCTGTCCTTGGGCTGTGATTTTCAAACAACTGGCCTTTAACGATCAAAGAGATGGGTTTTTCTTGGCAAAACTCAAATTTTTGGGGTTTATATTATCCAATTGGATCCTGATTATACCAAATGTCTCTCCTTCAGTCCAAGTGATTGATTCCTTCTCCAATAGCCTCATAACCTGCAACATATAAAATGATGAAATCGATACTTGAAAACGTTCTCCCTAAATATCACGCGTAAGTTCAGTCCAAAGTTGAATATGGTTTAGTATGATTGTGCTTCATAATAGTTTATTCAAATTACAGTTATTCGAATACGTTTCGTGTGAGATTTTGTATTTGTAACAGTCCTTTGTGTATTGAAAAAAAGGGTCGTCTCCCAGAATACTTGAGTTATGAGATTGAAATCAAAGAACTGAAGTTCTTACCAGTCTTCGACGGCTGCCCTTCAATGAGTCGTCTTCATTTTTGTCGACGATGATTTTTAAGTACTTGAATGCTGATTGAAAACAGAGAGCAATGAGTGAAAACAGTGGTTCGAGAGTAAAATCGATGTTAATGGGGGCTTACATGGGATGCCTGCGAGTGAAGATAGATGGCACTTCAAAAGACGTATTGCTTCCTTGGCTCCATGATCGTGCAAGTCGAGCGACATTTCATCTTCATCTTCTGTATCCGTCGTGTTCCTGATAAATGCGATGGGGAAAAGGGTGAGAGACAGAATGAGAAAAAAGGGTGGGGGACCATAAACGTTTTAAAGAACGAGAAGCTAACCGAGTGTCAAAAATCTTTTGATTAGATTCTTCATCTGCTTGGCGAGCCTTTTCACGATAAAATTGTCCCTGCCACCCCAAAATCCAACAATAATTCAAGTAGATGACACAGAAAACTTGACTGCAGATAGTAGCAGTAGGATTACTTAGATTTATTTAGTTCGTTTTCGTCTTTATATCCACTTTAGCCATAAGCAACCAGGAAGAAAGGTCGATTTCACTTGTGTCATGGAAGTAAAGTTTATCGATGGAACACACATATATTTGACTTTATTTTTACCTGTTCCAGAAATCTGTTTGCTAGACCTTGATCCCCTTTAGCAAAAGCTTCAATAGCCTGACAGAGAACGCATATCAGCCACTTGGAATTCAAAGGATATTGACACGGTATAAATTGTATCATACATTTCAGAATAGCTCCAACATGAAAAAACGGACGGTAATTTCAAAACCACAAGACTTACAGCTTTATAATATTCCTTCATTGTGCCCCTATATTCCTCCACGGCTCTTCGAAGAACCTGGAAACTATCTTCCTCTTCCTCTTCGTCTGTAAGTAAACAACAGAATAAGATGAATCAAAATTTTCGTACAAGGAACTCAAACACAGTGAAAATATTCGGAAAAACAACAGCAGCAAATTTGCAGCCAGAAACAACCATTTCCCATTGGTCTGGGTCTATGTGGGGCAAACTATTGATTAATAATTATAAATGCTCACCGAGGCAGTGAAGACGGTATTGAGCAGGTAAAAGGTATATGGGAATAGTCACACCTTGAACCTTTCTTCTGTGAACATTTGCACCGTCTAAATCTACGATTAAAATCTATGTTTTACTTAAGATACCGAAGCATATAGAAGCAACAAAACAAGTGTGGTTGTTACTTAGTCCTGAACAGTCTACTGCTAAATCTTATCTGCCTCCTATAAGCATCTTACTAAATTCTTAGTTGCATGAAATTCCCAGTGAAATGGACTAGGGCAAATACCATCTTTTTTATCTGAGCCAACTGAATCGACCTTCTCCTTAACAACAGAATCAAGCAGGGGTCCTTCCACAAGTTCTCCTAATGCGATAGACCTTTTTGCTGACCTCGTTCTTCTCGGAGGTGATTCATCAAATCTCTCGAGACCATTATTAAACAAAGCAGTCAAAACTTCCTTTTGGATCTCGTTTCTGTCCTTCGATTGCCTTGCTCCTCCATTTGCATTCAAGACTTTGTTCCTGCAAGTGAAAAGGGTCATCAGGAACTGTGATATACTTCTTTCCTAATTCTCTCTGTTGATAAAGTCCAAAATTAACCTAGCCGGAAAAACAAAAAAAAATTCAGGAAAACTTACTTTTCATGTGAAAGCTCCTCCGCTCTTGGTTGCATATCATTAGTCTATAAAAGGTGAAGAAGTGTAACAAAAAAAGATGAACAGTCGTAATGGTTTGATGCACATCTTAATCGCTTTTATTTTAATCTTACGAAGAATAAAAAATATAATTATACCGGCCACTGGGTTCACACACTCGAATATTAGACTAACCTTTTTATTGGATTCACCAAGAAATTTGCTTCCTTCGTCCAAACCTGCAGCTGACCGGTCAAGGAGCTTCTCCATGCTCTTATAAGTCAAGAGGGGGGGAAGGAGCCGTTAGAAAAACCTTCAAAAGAATCTTATTTCCATGAAGTCGACCATGGCAAAAGAAACTTCATTTCCTTAATAGTAAAGTATACGATACTTTGCACTAAAAAGTCGGTGGAAGTGCATTTGATAGTCTGAAACAAGAATTGCATACGAAAAGAAAAGATAGTCTGAAGCGAGGATCGTATCCATACCTTTTGCATGTCATATCCACAGTTATCTGCATATAAACCCATAAATAAATAAAACTTGATTAGTGATCTTGCATGACAATGAATGTATGCAGACATACTAGGAAATCATATAGACATCAAATGGCCTCACTTTAAGCATAAAACAAAGAAACCAGCTTAACAAAGAACATGCTAGGAAATTAGATAAAAGGCAATGATTAACGGTAGGATTACCGAGAACTTCTCTAATCACATTCCTCTCCAGTTGAAATCCCAGTCCAAGCATTTTGAAAAGAAAATCTTCCATATCCTTATGCAAACGGTTCTCCTTCAAAGAACTGGATTTGCATTCTTCTCCCCAAAGTACAGACATTGGCCACTCCTTTGAGTCCACCTTCAAGGGTTTAGTTCGTGGATTGGAACTATTAGCCGAAGGGGCAGGCTTCATATACCCCTTTCCTAGCATGCTAGAAACAGTCCCTCCTGAAACTGGTCTCCATTTTTGTTTTTGAGTTCTGAAATCCCCAATTGCTCGAAAAGAATTCTGCAAACTGTTACTACTTGATGATTCAAAAAGCTCATCCTTTTTCAGCTCATCGTTAGATGAATTACTAGCAGATGAAACTTGTCGCCATATTTGCTTAGCTTCACCACTTTTTGCCTTGCCATTAGATGCACTAGTATCAACAAAAGAGGGGTTCTCCTGCATTTTAAACAGAATTTCACCAGCTACATCCACATTCCGGTTCGCCTCACAGTAGGCAGAAGCAATATCTTTAAGAGAAAATACAGATCCAAAGGCATCAAGCAAAGTGTTCAACGCGTGCTCCTCGTCATATCGCAATTCACTTGAACCAGACACCTCCATTTTAAATATCAAGCTTCAAAAACAAAAACAAAGAGGGGAATATAAGAAATGATCCAATGTAAAACTTAGGTTAACAAAGCTGAAGGGCAGACACATAAACGAGCAAAGAACAAACTGCCACTGAAAAGATAATGTTATATCAATCCATGATCAACATAAAGAACATCTAAAGATGATAAACGCGCACTAGCAAAATCTAGTCATCAGCCAAAAAGAACAAGATCAATTCGATCAAAGAACCACTTAAAGAATGGGAAAGAATCCAAGTTAAATGTACTAATAAGCCATAGAATGCCAAGATTTAGCTTATCATAAGCCAAAAGAGCATGCAAGAAAGACCACATTTGGGATACAACGGAGAGAATCTTACTTTATTTCACAACAATGACTAAGATTAAGCAACCCAATCTAAATAAGCATAACCCTAATCGAAAAAAATCAAACAATACCCATTTTGGCAGCAAAGAACCAACTTCAGAAAAAAAAAAAAAAAGATTGATTGTCAAATTCACAAAGAAAACAGAGAGTTTTGAGTAACTTACCAAAGTGTTTTCAGCGAGGGACCTGGAGGAGGGGAAAGTTGAGAGTTTTTTGTAAAGTTTGGTGAATATAGGAAAAAGAAATCAAAATATTAAATTATATAAAAATTAAAAGAAAATAAAAAATTAAGAAAGGATGAAAGGACAGAATTTCAAACAGTCAGTCGTCGGATTCTAATTATGCTGGGGGAGTCTCCGAGTAATTTCATCACGCAAACCCTGCTGTAGGGTGTTGTTGAAATTGCCTAGAAAAAGTTCTCTCATTTCAGAGGTGAGTTTAAAATGCAATTTATTAAAAATAGCATAAATTAGTTGTAATAAAAAATATTAAAAGTGTACTTTTTTAGATTCGATCAGGTAATATTATAGACTAAAACCAAAAATTTATCTTTTCATCATACTTTTTATTGTAATTAAAATTACAACAAATATAATTTTTTTAGTTATAAATCCTAAACCAGCGGTAGTGTAATTTTTCGATTAAAAAATATTATAAATTGTATAATATTTTAAAATTAAATATAATAATATTTTAAAATAAAATTATCTTAAATTAGATTGTTGTATAATAGAACTACACTCGTTTTAACCGTTTGGTCTCAACTCTGATAAGAAGATTTTCCTTGTCAAATTCTAATTTCTAAAGTTAGCACTGAATTGTGTTTAAGTTGTTGATTTAATACAATTATTCCCATCTTCATCTTCGCGAGCTATTGCCTTTACCTCGTGAAGTGGATGATCAATGCTTATAAGGCCGTTGCCATTTATGAAAATGCAGCCTGAGAAGTCAACCATGTATTAATTAATTTGAGCCTTTAGCTGTAATAATGAAACTTTAAGGTGTGTTTATGAAAAACTTTTGGTCTAATCACGGTTATAATCTCTCTACTATGCTGTGATTTAGAATTTGTTCTCTTACTTTAATTTGACACGATTTCTTGAAAATTTGATAGTAAGGTGATTTTTTATCATTACAAAAAGTGACTAGTTGACTACATTTATAGTGTTATTAACCATCCCATATTCATTCCTTGTCCGTAAAATATATATCTAAATCGATAACGTTGTTGTTGTTTAAATGATAAGGTAGATTTTCATTGAAATAAAATTATTTGTGCTTATTGCACTAGAAGAAATCAACAAAAAATTCCTCTTTTCATCTCCGCAACTACAATTAACAGTGTTAAATATTCCTACTTTTCTTGCAATCCAAGCCGACCGAAGGAAGTCGAAGCTCCTCCGGTGGATTTCCGATTGCTTTCTCGAGAAAACCCCCAACATTTTTCTTTGCAGAAGAATTATCTCAAGATTCTCAACCAAAGCTTATTGCATGTTCATCTTTTAAACTGCTGTAGCTTTGTGACTGAAAGAAAAAATAGTCTGATGGTTCTCGTTTCAGAAGCTTACAAGAAAAGATTACGTTGGGGAATGTGCATGTGGCGCAACTGGGAGCGTTGCATGCAGCAATAGCGGACACATTCTTTGGTTTCTTCCTCAGGTGGGCTGACGGTTTCCGAGAGAAGAAAGCAACAGGAAATGATGGGGTTATCAGAAAAAACAAGTTGGACAGCTAGATTAACGGATAATGGAAGCAAACTAGTGTTGTTAACCATTACAATTTGTTACTCTAATCGAGTTTATTAGCTTCCTTTCATGGATGAATCATCCATGCTAAGCCAAGGCCTGAGAAGTGAGAACTGGGGGAAACAAATGAGTTTAGCCAGTTACAATTCTGTTTTTTTAGTGATATTACCACTTAAATTATCATGTAATAATTGATTAAGTTTAAATAGATTGATATTATTTCTGTTACATTATATATGAGTTTGGCATTCATTACTCTTTAGGATAAAGTTCAACCTCCTCGATAAAATGAAGGGGGACCAAGCCTTATTTATCGCAGTTGGGTCGTGTTTCACGGATTCGAGTTTCTCGAAGACCTCTGCTTGTTTAGTTGACCTTAACATTTAAATCGTCGGAACGGATGTATGCTGTTCTTGTTAACCGAAGTATTTGGAAGCTCTATATAAGACTGCCTGCAAAGGTTCTAAACACATGTGTCGGATACATACATGTATTCATCACTCACACCCGAATCTGAATAACATCGGAATTGAATCATTCACACCTATATCTGAGTAACATCGGATCCAAATCATTCACACCTGAATCTGAGTAACATCAGATCCGAATCATTCACACCTGAATCTGAGTAACATGGACGTGGATTTTGAAGCTAAGGTGTGCCTTGCCAGCAGGAATGCAGCCAAAAGTTTTCGTTTCTTCCCTCAGGTGGGCTGATATCTCAGATTGCACTTGCTACTCTACTTGATTCTATTACTTTCACAGATGAATCATCCAAGCTAAGCTAAGACCTGGGAACTGAGGGAAACAACTGAATTAAAACTGCCAATTAATAGTAACCATCTTAACTACATTTGTGTATATAAATATATACTGAACGTGAACTCAAGTGAAAGGAAAATGAAAGTCCTTTACTTGATGTAAGCAACTGTACAGCCATAATTCATTGGATTATCCTGTTCATACTTCAACACGCGTGGGTGATTTCTTAATATTTCCAGTGTTCGCTCCTTAACAACACCAGTGCCCATTGTTGAATATTCAAGATGGCAGCCAACAATTTTTGAACAATTTTGCATGGCTTTCTAGATGGCAGCCGGTGGCTGTAAGAATTCAAAGGTGGGCTGCTTAATTTTGTTGAAAATAAAAATGGGGAAAATGCATTTTAGTTCATGTACACTTTAGGGTATTTATAATATTAATCCTTAAACTTCAACTATAAATACCTTATCACATTTAGCTTCAAAATCATCCCCAAATCATTCTAGCTCTCTCTCAAGTGTTTTTGTAAACACCTGTAAATTTTCTCCCTTTACTAAAAGATCTGCAGTAGTCCGGAGACGTAAACATAATTGGTTGAACTCCGTTATCAATTTCGAGTATTATTTTTTCGCTTTTATATCGCATTCTCACTAATCTGGTTATAGGAAAATTATTCGTTTATTTCCCAACAACTGGTATCATGAGCTTTTGGTTGTGAATTTTGTTAAATTTTTTGCGATGTTACTATTCACGTGAATAGTGAATTTCATGAATAGTAAAATTTGGTCGACGATACGAGCTTGTCGACGAAGGTGTTCTAATATACGGTGGTTCGCAGAAATTGTTAGAAACGATCCAAACAAAGCCAAATTCGAGTGGGAGCGATGGCTGCAGACGAAGGGAATGTGAAAATTGAGAAGTTGAATGGTGCGCTCAAGACCTTCTTGGAAGGACTTAGACTAGGGGCAATGCTCGGGAGAGAGCAAGGTGATGCCCAAAGACTTTCGGAGGCCATAGCTGTAGCCGGAAAGCTGACTGAGCTTGCAGGTGTCAAGCCAAGTAGCGATGTGTCGTCTAGGCCCATGCCCAGAGATAGTGGCAATAATGGGGGAGACCGGGAAAATGTGCAGCGGAGAGATGGTAGAGGAAGCTCTTCGAATAGCCAATGTGAGCCATTGACTGTTAATAGCCAAGGGAAGCCATTGGGAAAGAATGACAAGGCTAAGTCCGGTGTGAAGAAGAAGGGGAGCAAAGAAAAATTGAAGTGATACTTCTGTGATGGTCCTCATTTGATTAGAGGATGTCCCGAGAAGCGTCGCCTTGCAACCATCATAAAGATGATGGAAGAAGGAGAAGTAGCGGGAATTGGCGCAGTTGCAAGTGTTAAAGTTGCAAAGCTAGGGAAAAGACTTGGTCCGATTGAGGGGATCAATGCGGTCAAGCAAGGAACAAGACATGGTGCGACTACAAGTTCTCAAGTAGTTAATCCAAGATTGAGACGTGATGAGACTGCGGGTATCAAAGCAGTCGAGCACAAGAAGGGACCCGATGCGATAGTGAGAGACAAAGTCGTCAAGCCGAGGATGCAAAGTGAACAAATTCATTCACAATATGCCAGGATGGAGGTGTGGTCCAAGTTGAGGTGTCTCAAGCATAAAGGGACACTCAAGGAGTATGTGAGCCGATTTAGAAAATTCATGCTCAAAGTCCCAAGTTTGATAGAAGAAGATGTGTTCTTCACCTTCATGTTCGGATTGAAGCTATGGGCGAAGAAAGTGTTGGAGTGAAGGGAAGTCAATGAGCTGTCTAAAGCCTTGACAACCGCCAAGTCCATCAAAGAATTTGGAGTCAAGAAGAACAAGACTTCCAAAGCAAATCCGAAAATCGAGGGTAGCGGCAAGAGATTCCGTAATGAAGGCAAGTCAGAGGATGAGGAATGTTGTTCCTCGAGTGACAGAGAAAGTCCACTCAATGATGAACCAGATGGTGGATCTGAAGAAGATATGTGTAGTCTTGACACAAGTTCAAGTGTCAAAGATGCTAAGCCGAGGGTAAGAGTCGAGCAAACGAGAGGGCGCAGACTTAAGATGTCAGAAGTGTTACAAGATTACCCAAGGGGAGCCGAGTCATCCAAGGTGATGGATGAGCCCAGGATCGAGTTGTCCAGAGAAGAAGACGAACCCAGGATCGAGGGGGCGTTGAGAGTTGGCTCAATACAGTTAATTTTTGCAAAGGCAAGTAAAAGCCAAGTGCAGGAAGAGTTAGCCATGTCTAAGGATTTTGTCGAGCATGTTAGTGTAGAGAACATGGCTTCAGAGACCATAATAAGAGAAGGGTCGAAGCAAGGGCTTGCCGAAGATGTTCAAGTGAGGAACAATCCTTCAAAGACTAGTAGACAAGAGTCGAAGGGAGCCAAGACGTTAAGGGATAAGGCAACCAATGAGAAACTACCCATTTGCAAGATGGAAAGTGAGCTCTAACCTTTGTGTTAGAAGGAAAGAGGCAAAAAGGGGAACCAGACTTTGCCGTGAGAAAGAGTCGATGCATGGTGGTGCAAAGAACTCAAATGATAAGGGTTCAATGCAAGGAGTGTTAGACTTCATGTAGTAAGAATGGCTGACGTAATTTTGAGTATGCCATGGTTTGTACTAGACCAGATATTGCTCAAGCAATAGGAGCTATTAGCAGGTAAATGAATAATCCAGGCAAGGTACACTGGGAAGCAGTCAAATGGATCCTCATATATCT